CTAATACTTAATACCGTAGAGAAAACTTAAAATCAAGTATTTAAAATTATTTGAGCGTGAATTATTATTTTATTATAGAAGTAATTACTCTTAATTTAAAGCTGTATAGCGTATATTTCGGTTACTCTAATGCCAATTTAACCTTCACTATGTCATAATCCAAGATGGGTGAATGGGTAGCATTCATTATTTCTCAATGCAAGTTATCAGAGTGTTGTCGATAACACGTGATTTCAGATGCGTCACACATTCCCATCATTTTGATCATTCTTTTGCCGAACAATTTCCAGATCAGATAATGTTCTCTAGTCGAGGAAGAAGACCTGTTGGTAGATATCCGCGTAGAGCACCACATCACAGACATCATCACCAAGCGAACATACCACAACATGGAGAACATCGTGCGGATATTCGAGGTTAGATATATAGAAATACAGTAGAGAGACTAAACAGCGAACGCGTCAACGGCAATCATCTAATTTAACTCGTATCGGACTACCAATTCTCCCAATAAATGTAACGGACTATTTTCCCGTAGATTCAACAAAGTTGTCCCGCATTCAAAGCTTACTGTCTCGCATCCGCGATGACAATGAATCGGTTTACACTCGACGCACAAACTCTTTGAACCAATTGTCGAATATGGTAAATGAATCAATGTCAACGTGGGAGGCAAATCAATTGTTCGAAAGTATGACGAAAGGGACGGGCGGAATGCCGACGATAGAAAGTCTTTTCGAAGATACAAGGTGAGAAAGTCCTTGACCTTTAAGTATTTGATGAACATATTGTGTATTTAGCGTATTTACTGCAAAAACATATCCACGAAAATTTCCTCCATTGAATCCAAATTCAATTATATCTATTATGTTTTTTTTCTCTCTTCCGTCTTAAATTACCAAGATCACCATCAAACGCTCGTCTACTTTTGTCCAAGTTTCTTGCTCAGGTAGCTCTGAACATGAAGGATGACATTGAATTATATCTACGCTGGACGTTTGAACGGTTACACGTAACGGCGAGTGGAAACAGAGATAAAGACAAGGAGAGAAAGATGTGGATAGTTGCTTCTTTACGCGAAGTATGTCTTTGAAAAAAGGATTGCTGGGGATAGGACATTATAATATATTGAACAGTTTTCTTTATGATTTCGGCAAGAATGAGACTTGTCAACAAACTTAGTATGAGGAATGCAACTGCAAACAGAAATATTAGCACTATGGAGACTGCTTTTTATTCAGTCATTAATTCTCGTTTTTTGCGTTTCTTGACAAAAAGCTCCTCAGTCGTCCTGCCCATTCATCTTCTCATCCACTTTCATCAATACTCCAACCTCTAATTCCGTCCATCCTAATCGATGTCGAAGCGCTTCTGGATTCGATGGAATGTGTAGATTGTTTTCCAGTTATTCTTGAAGTGCTTGAAAAAATTGTCGAAAAGTATCCGAACGAATTTTGTGAGAGATTCCAGGTTTGTAAAGAGGGGTTAAAGAGGAGGATAATGAACAAACTGGTGAACAGACGTTATGAATGTTATTAATATAATGTTTTTATGAGTAGGATATAATTGATCTTCTTGTAGGATGGCATATTGATACCTCGGTTTCAGACAATTTGCATCGATTAATTTCAGGTAATCGTAGACAACACGGTTATTTATGTATCTGGCGCTGATGTATTTTGTCATTATCTAAGTCATATCTTTTATTGTTACTCAATTTATCATTAGTCATCTTATTACATACATTTCATTAATTCTCTACTTTAGAAACGTTCCTTAAACTGCGCCCGTGTTGGGCTCGTAATCTTGAGTTTGCCTTCGAACTTATGAGTCATTTCCTAACTGATATGGAGATCGAGCTTGGACTGCCCACATTACCCGACGTTGGAAAGGAAAAGCAGAATGAAAGCGATCATGAAGAAAACGACAAGGATAAGAAGAATGGTATTTCGAGTAATGTTAAGGCTTTGTTAAGGTAACAAAATTTGGGGATTACGTATTTTCTGACAATCCGATGTTGTCTCTAGTTTATGGACATCGTATTATTTGTCATCTCGTATCAAAAAAGAAATTCCTATCTTGTCATGCATGTCACCACTTATCAATCGTCTTTTCTTCGTTTTAGCTGTTTCCATGCCGTTGCAGATGCAGTTGGCGGAGTTGTTCCAGCGCAATCAACGGAGCATTCTTATGGAGCTGGAATAGATGACAATTCGTACCCTTTTGATAAATTGCATGCCTGGATAATTAAGATTTTAAATACTATTGCTGATACGCATCTTGATGTTGACTGGTTACGGAAAGGTGATTTGAAAATTTGAGGGGGGGGGGGGGGGGGGGCTTAGGTGAAAAGAAAGAGTTGGTGGTTTGGTTGCCACGCGTTTTGCAGTGATACATAGCCTAACTATACCTACTCATATCCTTAGGGAATCAAATAATTATTTCCTTGAGTGCATACAGAAAAGCAGCCTCAATGTATCAACAAATGCCCGCAATTACTTTTTACTTGAATCAGTTAGTAGTTACTCAGGAGGAAACCTTAACCGGCCGGCAAATAGATGAATGGTTTGATGGTTTATTACAGGTTGAGTATTTCAATAATATCGTTCACGTTCGTTACGGTCGAGATTCACGAAATTTGTTTAACCTTGTTCTAAACTGTTTAATACGTATGTAATCAATTAACCTTTTTCTTTCATCTGCCCCCACCTCATTCAATTAGATTTTATCTAACTGGATACCTGTCGTTCATCCAGAAATTTTACTCACACTTGCGCATCCTAAATCTAAACTCCAGCAACTCCGCGTATACAACCCTCGCAATGCTCGTTTATTTGCAGATATATTGGAGATGTTTCGGATATTAATTAGAAATCAAAACAATATGATAGAGATGGACGAAGTTGGAAAGAAAAATTTAATACGCGAGTTGGATAATGAAGTTAATTGCATGATGGAGTTGATAATTGAAGATCGGGAAGGGAAACGAGACAAAAGGAGAAAATCGAGGAAAGAAGAAAATGAAAAGAAAGTAGACGGAATGGTGTTGGTCGTTGGAAATGACGCAAATAAGGTACCCGAAAAAGAAAATGGAGAAGTTATCGCTGACAGTGAGAATAAAGATGTTAGTGTGAATGAAATGAAGAAGAGTAATGATAAAGAAAATTCTACGGCAATCAGTAAACCGACTGACGAGACAGTTAATAGGACAATCGGTAAATAGATAAGTATCCAATTTACATGTGACTGCAATCTATTCTAATTCCAGCTATTTCATAATATGACCAGCATCCTTGGTCCTGGTCGCCGATCTCGAGTTGTTATCCGAAATCGCAAAATCGTGGAATCGCGAACTGGAGGTGTTTTCGGTTTTACTTCGCGTTTTCGAGAAGATCAATAAATGCGCGTACTTTGACGCAGTTTTAATGACAGCAACGATCAAATCGATGAGAAATGTTTCGCGAAGGTAAGTCTTGACTGGTGAATAAGCAGTAGTCATACATCTATTTGAAGAAGTATTGGCTTGATCTTATTTTTGTGCATTTTTACTCATCGCTTTTTTCTGTCATATGATGTCTATAGCTGCTCATACTTTCTCTTACACCTTCACGCATCTAATTACCCAACCTTTTCCACTATAACTTCCCTTATTACCTCAATCTTTATAAATCACGTTAACTTTCCCATAAATATTATATCATTAACCATCGACTGGTTTTTAAATATAATCAAACACGTCAATAATGAAGAAACGAGAGTGAAAGCAGATTTAACAGATAATATAACGAAAAATACACAAAAATATACAAGAACGGACGCGAAAGTGCATATTGACACAGTGTTAGATGCATTGATGAGGTTATCAGAAGTATCGAGAGATAGAGAGATTAGACTGGCTGTGGCCAGAGTGTTAAGAGATTACTTTAAAGTATTTGGCTCTGTTTCTGTTAAAGAAAGCATTGTTGTTGGAATATGGCACAGGTAAGCGATAGAACCCTTATTCGATTATTATAAGCAGATTAGTGCTTACATTAGATACTATTGTATTGGTTAATGCTAACAAATCCACTGTTTCGATGTAGAATTGCCGATGTTGATCCCAAAGTACAAACAGAGTATGCAAAGCTGCTGTATAGCATTAATCCATTCTACGCTGCCTTTCAACATAACGAATATTCGGATACGCTGTATGAAGATATTAGAGTAAGTACAACAAATTTCAACGGCTGGTTTGTCCGATTGTTGGTTACTGGTAAACGGCCATGCGTTATTGTATTGCATGATGTTTACACGTAAAAAATTGATTGAAGTAACAGTAAGCCATTACATGAAGTTTAAACTTTCTTTACTCTTCATTTCAAGTCAACAATCATCTCGACACCTCACTTAGGCACCTTCCGCCCGCGCCACTTTCAAATACTAATGGCTCATTTGGGAATGGAAGATTTCTTGTCAACAACAGACTCAGCAACGTTACACGATTCTTATCCACCTGAGAATACGAATAATGGAGAATGGCTGCAGAGATTATTTTATTCTTGTCAGTCAGAAGCGACGTTCGAGCCCTTGAATCAAAAGGGAAGATCCAACGTTAGCACAAGTCAAAATAGTATCAAAAACAATCCTACAAATAATAATCCCAACGCTCCTACTGCAAATGATACCGCACTTACTTATTCCATCTTCGCCTCAACGATTGCAAACTCGATACCTTTGCTAACATTCTGGTCGCTTTGGGAATCGACAAGGTATTGCATACTATCACGACTACGCACGCCATTCGGAGGTCCGAAGCAGACGTTTGATTGCTTAGAGAGACATTTAAATGACTTACTTGACAGTATTGGAAATACGTTAGGCAATGATGGAAATGAAGCTAGTAAAATTGAGACAAGTGAGGGAATAACCAGTGCTGAGATAGCCAATAATGGTGGTATCACTTCGGACGCAAACGCACGCTCTTCTGCTGTTGGCGAATGCGGTTTTTTTTCTCCCTCTTCATCGCCATCAACTCCTACCGCCCATCTTGCCAACCTCCGTGCACTATTAACTCTTCTTACTCTTCTTGAACTTCAAATTCACAACGCCACAACTGGCACCGCGCTCTCCATCATCCCACCTGCCCCTCGGCCAAGCATCGTGTTCTTCCGTACGAATGAGAAAGTATGTGGGGATTGGTTCAGTCGAGTGAGATACGGACTTGTGAAAGGCGCGAGAATAGTTGGAGACGATGCGATGGTTGTAAGACATGGCATTAGTTATTTGAAGGAGAAGAGTTGGGTGTTGGACAAGGAAAAAGGAGGACTGGAGAACGAGAGAGAGAAAGGTGGAATGGGTGATAGAGGTCATTTCAGACAAGGAGATGATTTTCACAATTTAACAACTGCAAAGAATAAGCAAAGCTTATCCTTGAACTATATTAACGAATTTCAAACGGTTTGCATGTATATCGTAGAAAGTTTGGAGAGGTTAAAGGAAGGGGATATAGTTGTCGGGTTAAAAGAATGGTGTGTGAAGAATATCGAGGAGAAAAATGCACGAAAAAATGGTGGTAATATCAACATCGTTGTTACCGGTGGGAATGTGGATGTGACTAGTACTACTCCCACAGTTCAACCCTGTACTCGCACGCTGCTCCAACGCAAACCACTTCCTCGTTCCTGGCCGATACCCGCGTCGCTTATGTTTACCTGGATGAACCCTTCTATACGAACATCTTATCTAGAATACGAGGCATCGATTACTGAAGCCACACAAGTATTGAATGAATTATTCGAACATGAAAATATGCAACAAGAAGGGCGTGAAGGAAGGGACAACTCGGGGCAGGCTCAAGATGCAGTTAATTCTCGGAGTGTGATTCGCTTAATAAGCCAGTTTGTAACATCCAACATTATTGATTGCTATATAAAACTCGATGACATGTCTTCTTTGTCCGAATGGATAAAGGAGCATAAAATAGAAGATAGTATGCTGCGCCCGTTGGTTAAAGAGAATCGGCAATATGTAGATGAATTGGAGCGGTGGTACACGGCGGACGTGTTTGAAAAATGGGAAGTAGGCGAAGAAACAGGTAGAATTGGAGAAGACATGGGCGTTATTAAGGAATCGTATGAAGGACCGAATGATATAAGGCTTATTGAATGGCTTTATAGATTAAAATACGTGTATCTTCAACAACCCGTTGCGAGATCCTCGGCGCCATCATCAACTGCAACAGCATCAGCGACAACGAAAGCGAAATCTCTTCCTATTACATCAAATACATCCATACTTACCTCACCTTTTACTAATATTACACCGGATTCAAACATTCCCAATATTCTCCCTTTATTACGGTTTC